AAGAAACTTCAAATATTTTTTTTGTGCCTAATTACTCTGTTAAAAAGAAAGATGAATATAATTGGATGATTAATTCACTATACAATGAATATAATTAAATGATATTAAATTAATTTTGAAAATCGTACCACTCTTGCACTCCAGGATAAAGCTGGGCGGACATGTGCGTTTGTAGAAAATTGTTAGAACAGTAAATGGAGTGAGCGGGTCCCTTTTTGGTAGGTTATTAATTTAATTACAATATTTTTATCAATGAGGTTTACGATTTACCTTTTAAATAGGCTTTCATGTTATTAAATGGGGCTGGGCAGACTATTTTTTAATTTATTGAAGTTGGGCCCGGGCTGAAGTATAAAAGTCCAAAATATGGCTATATAAAATACATGTTGGGGTGCATAGACTCACCTGGGCTGTAGCCCAGGTACCCTTGGCTGTAAATCCGCCCCTGGGGATGCTCGATCTGGGAGCAGGAATAAACCTCATGCCACTATCCATTTATCGGCAGCTCGAGCTTAGGGGTTTGAAGCCCACTCGGATGCACTTACAGCTTGTCGACCACTCACTCCATCAGCCCGAGGGCATTGTGGAGGATGTGCTACTTCGAGTGGAGAAGTTGATCGTCCCCGTAGACTTTGTTGTCCTCGATGTGGGGGACGTTCGAGTGAATGGGAAAGAGCACACCATCTTCCTTGGGCGACCGTTCATGGCGACCACCGACACGATGATCAATGTCAAGGGGGGGAGACTAACCATTATGGTGTTGGGTGAGTCCATTACCATTTCCCTCCGGGAGACCCGACCAAAGCCGCGGGTGAATTCTGTGGACGAATGCATGTCCCTTAGGGAAATTGAGCAACTTACTGAGGAAGCGTGTATGCGGGAGTACACGAAGAGGTCATTACAGACCCGTGCCCAGGTCAAAAATGGAAGCCATTCCAACCGCCACATTTCACCTCCCACATCGAGTTCCAGAGAGCCGCCCCGATCCCAATGGGGTGAGAGAGTTGATTTGTCAGATGCCCGTCGTTGTTCGGGGCCCGACCACTTCTACCCTCCACCAGCACCACCGGACACACAGTGACTTGTCACTGTGCTTTGTACGTTTTCTTTCTCTTCCTCTTTTATTTTGTACAGTTTGTTTTGTTTTTGGTCGATTAGTTATATGGTCTAACTCTCTTTCACCACAGATCAACAATGGGGACATTGTCTGATTTTAAGTGTGGGGGAGTTTTACATGCCTACGTGATTATGTGATTGACCAGGTCTAGTTCTTTTAGGTTGTTTTCATTTTCTGTTTTTGTTTGGTGTCCTATCTTGAGTCAATTTGTGTGTTTTGCGAGTATGGATTGTGGTGGATTTTGAAGTTGGTTGATAATTGTTTATGAAGTTGAGGAGATATGATGATGATCATGACTAGCTTATCTTGGTGAACTTGACTGTCGTTTTGTTGGACATTTATTTACCTTATATGAGGTTTGAGCCTTAACTTGTTTCTTGTGAGATATTGGTCGGAATCGCTGTCAGTTAGAATTTGCCTTGAGTCTACTCCAAAATGAATTAGTTGGATTTGTGTAATGTGAATATGATTAAGGCACTATTTGTATTTTCTTTCCCCTTATCGTTTTGTAGAAATAATTTCGCTAGTCACCCCTTTTGAGCCTTATTGATTTTCTTTCTTTTATAAACTCGTGACGATGATATTGTGGAGTTGCAAGTGGAGAATTGGAGGTGATTGGTGTTGGGTTTTATACATATAAAAAAAAGAGTGCAAAATGAAATGAAACCAAAGGGAAATAAACACCCGAAGGTTGTCATTCACAAATATATATATATATATATATATATATAAAATGGGACCGAATGTATTAGTAGAATATCCAAAGGGTTCAAGAAAAAAAAATGTGTATATATTTGAATAATGCGAGTAGCGTGTTCACTTGTGAGGATATGGGAGGAAACGGTTGGTGCTTGACAACCGGATGAGTTCATGCTTATGGTTAGGTGAGTGACTTGGGTTGATTTGATTATTATTTAACCACTTAGCCTATACTTACCCTACCCGATCCAAAGAGCCTACGCTACATCCCTAAAAGTCATCTTGATTCATTATTGCATGAATTTCACTGTTTTAGAGTAAGAGTTAGACGATAGGCAAACTTACGATTGATTCGATTGACGACCAATTTGAGCGTCCCCGTTTCATATTCATACAGAAAACCGAGTGAGGCATATGTGTATTTTATTACCGTTCTTGAGAGTTTGTCTTTTCAAAACAAATCGTTTGAGTTGTAATTGAGGTATGCTATATTGGTCATTGGAGGTTTCCTCGACTAAGTTGATTAATTTGGAACTTATCTTGTCTGAAACTATTATCCATGCTCATTTGCTTGTCTTCTTTTCTTTTCTTTTCGTGTCTTTTTGTTTGGGACGAACAAAGGATTAAGTGTGGGGGAGTTGTTTGTCCCATTTTCGTTACGTTTTTTCTTATTGTTTTATTTCTTTTTTCCCCCGTTTTTAGGTCATTTCTTTCGTTCTTAGGGCGTTTTGTGTTTTATTGCGTATTTTCCTTTAGTTCGAGTCTTTTATGTGTTTTTCAGTTATTTCCCAGTTTTTCGCGTTTTTTCTCATCGTTGGTGTGTAGGTCCGGTGCCTCGTGAGGAACAGGTATGGCTCAAAAACTGACTGGGTAATCATGGTCGCGTAGAATGATTCGTTGGCAGCACACAGGAAAAAGTGGATTCGAATTCCAAGTCCAAATGAGATCAAACGAGTCCGAGAGGTGAAGTCGGGAACGGAAACTAGCTGCCAGGCCAACACCACAAGCTCCCCACGCCGTGATACACGCCACGACCACCCTTCAGTGGGCTGTTCCAGGTCACCACGCCGTGCCGACTGCCGCGCTGCGGACCTGCTGTCCACCACGCCGCGAAGACCCCGCCGCGCCGCGAGGCCTGCTTGATGAAGATGTGGCTTTCGAGGCCCGAGGACGTCGAGAGTCGATGGCCGAGACGACCCGAGAACGCCGCGAAAAAGGCCAAACCCACGCATGCATGGCCTAAAAGACCGGTACGAGCTTGTATGCGAGGCACACGAACACGAGAGGAGCGACACGAGACGATCCAGGACAGCATGCGAAAGTCCTGAGTGAAGGCAAGAACACACGCATCGAGTCAGGCTTATCGCACGAGAAGTGCGAGGATTGGAAGACGTGTAAGAGGTCGAAGTTCCCGCGGGAGGAAATGGCAGAGTTGCACGCGATGGGCTGACTTGCGGACGGGCCTAGACGTGGGCGCGTACACATGGACGGGCCTGGATCGAGGGAACCGCGTAAGCGGGACTAGAATGGGCCTGATAGGCCGTGGGGCTAGCAACAGGTCTAAGGCCGCGCGTGACCGAGCACGCGGGGGAGTACGTGGACGTGATGCGCAAATACACGAGGCGAGTCGTGCGAGCCGAGGAGCGAAGATTCTAGAAAAATATAATTAAATTAATTATGTAATTAGCATTTTATTATTAGCATAAGTTAGTTGTTAGATTAGTTTATTTTAATATATTAGTGGGGTTAGTTTATTAGGTTAGTGTATGTTAATTAGATTTGTTAGTTCGATATATTATTAGGGGCGTGAGTTAGTATAGTAGTATATATATTAAGTTAGTTGACGTGGTTAGCAGGATAAGTTAGTTATTTAGATTGTTAGATTAGTTCGGATTTATTTGTATAGTTAGCGTGAATTATTAGTTGTTATAAGTGTTAGGATTAATTTAGTTTGGTTAGGTATTTTATATTTTGTCAAGTCTTGATATGCAAGACATTTAGTTACCTTAAGATTAGATATATTTTCCATAGATTAGAATTATAGTGCTCTAGGACTAGATCTAGTTTTTCTTATAAATACCCAATGTACTCATTCTATTTGATAATCAATGAAAAATTAATTAAAACCGAACATTTGTTCAAATTGTCTTGTGAGTTTACTCCTGTGAGTTTACAAACTAGATCGTGTTAGAAATAGGACCAAAATCTGATTTTCTTTCACAAACAGCGAAGTACGAAGGCGTCGGCGCGCGTATTAGCAACCTATCGCGAAGGAACCAATGCGTCGGCGCGGGTTTCGAGCAAGTCGAATTGGTGAGACACACGATCCTTCATCATCGGTGCCTTTATTGAGAGAGATCAATCGTGTGTCTTATTTAAACTTTTTCTTCCTTCTTTCTTTTGAATTTTTCTTTTTGTTAGTCGAGTAAAAAAAAAGGGTATAGTTGTGGTTTATTATGTGTGCGTGAGTCTAGTAAAAAAAAAAGGAAAAAGAAATATACATATAAATAGGGTCGCGCTCCGTTGGGAATGACTCTTAATGCGAGAAATGAAAATAAATCGTAGCTATTGGATCCGATGATCTAATGGCTAATGAAAAAATCAAATTTATACATTCATTAAGGGTAATTTGGACATTAACATAACACATCACCACCCACATCACAATGCCATGTCACCACCCACACAAATAACACACGCACACACACATAACATACGCACGCACACACCTAACACACTCTGCACACATATTTTACACACACACACACACACGCACAGCGCTCGCCACTGGCCACTCCACACAGAATCGCCGCACCGGCCACTCCACCAAGAACCGCCGCATCCACCGAGCTGGCCGTCACCGCCGACGCCCGAGATCGTCGGTGCGGTCGCCGTCCTTCATCATCCACATTCCCCCGCCGCTCAAATCTGACGAGAAGGTCTTATCCTCCGGCGACACCAACCAGTATACCTTCTAGATCCACGGCGGCGTCTGCACCTGGAAGTCGGCAGAGGTCACATCTGGTCCCCTGGAAGTCGGCAGAGGTCACGGCGGCGCCTGCGCCTGCATTTGGAAGTCGGCGGGCCGTCCCGCGACGGCGATCAACAGGAGCGACGGTGCTTGCTGAGAAGGATTGGTAGAGACGAGTCAGAGTGGCCGCGGTCGAGCCGGTGACGGCGCTGTATGTCGTCGGACAGATCCTCATGGCTAGCTTCGCTGATGTTTGTTCCAGACAGGGTGCTGACGGGCAGTCCACGCGGCGGCAATCGACGGGATAATGTCGGTGCTTGCTGCAGGGCCGAGCCGGGATGGTCACGGTCGCCGGAGATGGCACAATTTGAGCCGACCAAAACTGTAGAATGTGATTTGGGAATTAGGGTGTGGTTGCAATTAAATAATGTTGAAGGCACATTTGCAATTTTATTAACTTTGATTATTTTTCATTTTAGATAATGGACAAGTATATAATTTATAGTAACAATTTCATAAATGAATCTTAATGATATCTAAAGTGTAGATTGATTAAAATTTTAATATTTAAATATTTAATATGTAATTGCAAATATGCGATTAAAAATTACGTGTACTACAAACTGCACAATATTTATGTTTCAATTAAATGATAGAATAAACCTAATATTTTGATTCGAGATAAATCGTTAAAAAATAATTACACTTTGATTTATGAGAATTTGATTATTTGCATAGACTGAATTGCAATATCAAAAACTTTGATTATATTCAATTTGATCTATGGGTCAAATCTGCCATATTTAAAAATATATAAAAATATATTATTTTTACATATTTTTTATACATATATATTATATTATTTCCAAATTAATATAAAATATTAAAATAGATAATAAATATATTTCTATAATATAAGTAATAAATTATTTTAATTATTTATGTTACTTTGAGTAACAAATCAAATATCCCAATTATGTCAATTTATATGTGATCATATAAAGTAGTGCATTTTATATATCAAAACACTGCACTTTATAAACAATACGTTGCACTTTATAAAACAACACGTTGCACTTTATCACCAGAATCCACTGTCAACGTCTCCTCCCACATAACATAAATTTAGAAAACGGATGAACGTAATACTTTAACATCAATCACATCAGTTATCCATACAAAACACAAAATTACAGTAGTACACACTATACATCAACATGTTGCAGTTTATAAAGGTATCAAAATTATTTATAATAGTAACAAATAATTTATATAATAAAAATAATAAATGAAAATATATTTTAATTAATTAGGTTAATTAGATGTAAAATTATATCTATTAAAAGTTTAAAATTAGTTTTTGGATACAAATAGAGAAGTATAAATTAGTGCACTTGATATAGCGGAATGTTGCACTTTATATAACAATAGGTCGCACTTTATAAAACAACATGTTGCACTTTATCGTCACACTCCACAATTAATGTCAACATCTCCCGCCAAAATATTACGCAATATAAATGTAAAAAAACGGATCGACATAATACTTTACTATACATCGCATCATATATATCCACAAAAAAACACAATCATGTTAACATACCATAATTTAAGTATTACAGTTTATATGTCAATTCATTGCACGTTGTACTCTGCACACACACACACACTCTGCACACACACACTACTCACACACACACGCAATGTTTAACGGCTGAAAAGCTCGACCACCGCCATGGACGTCCTCCACCGGCCACCGTCCATCGTCCATTGTTCCCGGCGCCGCAAAACCGTCGGTTTTCATCACATATACGCGAAGGCTGCACCGCCGATTCGACCGACAGGACACAACGCTAATCGCCCTGAGGCCGGAGGGCCGTTTCCACCATTCGCCTCCACCACGAATCTCTGGTTCACTCCGGTAATCGGTCGATGCCGTCTGGAATGCGCACACTTCGCCGCCGTCTGGTCCAGCGTCTATAGCTCAACCGCCGTCGTTCTCCTCCATCTCCCTCGACGACCGATTTCAACCATCCTGACTGAAAGTTGACGTCCGAGCTCCGGTCGCAGCGGGAGATGCTCCAGGTCAAATGGAAAATGGGCACTGAATACAATGACACCGATGTCTCTGCCGGAGAAGCTGACCGGCGCGGTTGGGAGTGGTGGGAATGTGAAATCGATTTGGGGATGATTACTGATTAGGGCTTTCTTTTTAATTGAATATTTTAGGGGGCTTTTTGCAATTTAACGAATTTTGAAATATTTCAATTTGGTTCATGTGCCAAATGTGTAATTTATAGAAAATAATAAATAGGCATTAATGATATATAAAAGCAAATTGAATATATTAACATTAAATATAACTGCCTTGTAAGTGCACCACGGAATGCACGTTAATGATCGACACACTGCACATTAACGACTGACATATTGCACATGAAAAAATTCTCGGTTCCAATTATCATGTGCTTGTCCTATTATACTTTTTTTTTATTTTAAAATATCGATTGTCTTGGTTAGATATCGGTTTTGGTTTGATATATTTTATAAAAATATATTTTAAAAATTATTTATATATATATTGTTATGCATATGTATTAAATAATAAATAAAGTATTAAATAAAAATATATTTTTAATTATTTAGGTCAATTTAATGTACGATTATATCTATAAAAAACTAGTGTTCGGATACACACAAATTATTTGGGAATGTATAAATTAGTGCACTTTATATAGCGAAATGTTGCACTTTATAAAACAACACGTTGCACTTTGTCACCACATTCCACAGTTAATGTCATCAGCTCCCGCCAAAATATTATGCAATATAAATCTAAAAAACGGATCAACATAATAATTTAATATCCATTATATCATTTGTACACATAAAGAAAAAAAAACACATGTATGCTAACGTACTAAAATTCCAGTATTGCACTTTATATATCCTTAAGTTGCACTTTATAGAACAATATGTTGCACTTTTTAACGTATCATGTTGCACTTTATAATAACTAAACATGCCAAACTATATAAAAAATATTACCAATTTTTATATATAGTTTTTTTTATATGAAAAATAATACTATTTTTTATCAGATTGCACGTTAGTGTTAGACGGATTGCACCTTAGTGACTGACAGCTTGCACTATAGCGATTGAACCTCACCAAATTCCTTTTTTTGTGTTCGATCAAATAAACTAATTAATTTTGTTCGGTTTTAATTTGGTATGAAACAAAATATTGATCGGTTCAGACATTTAATTATGCATATACTCACTAAATATTTAATTGTGCATATACTCACTAAATAAAATGCATGATATTTAATTGCGAATAAATAAAAATTATTTAATTGCATAATAATATAATAATTTATTAATGTGCATATACCAACTAAAAATTGTGCATTTTATTTATCGTCATTGTGCAAATACTCAAATTAATAATTTATTAATGTGCATATACTCAAATTTAACATTCAATGTGTAACATATAAAAACTTCAAAAAAAAAAAATGCAAATAGGCCCACCATTTTTGTCTAATTTCCAAAAAAAGAACCCCGATTATTGTCAAACATTCACAAATCAAATTAACATTCACAAATCAAATTAATCGCTTCAACTATTCCGGCCATCACTTCCGGCAGTGCCGCCACCTCCGCCGCCGCCACCTCACATACTGAACGCAGAGTTCAGTCGGCTGGCCAATCCTTTCGTCGTTGTCGGTGACGAGCTCGAGCCTCCTTCTTTGATTTTTCTGAAATCTGCACATATTTTCGTCGGAGAACGACCGCCGCCACCACCGGGAGATGAGGGACACGATGCCGACGGACGCTGTGGTAGACATGGTCGCGCGGCGGAGGGTCCTCGGTGCTCGTTCTCCGGCGATTTCAGCCGCCTCTGCAAGGATGACGAGACGTGAAGGCAGGGCTGGACGTGACGTTGGTTAGGGACAGCGGCGACGGGATCGAACGGCCGGTTGCCAGTGAAGGGCGGAAGACGGCGGCTGCAAGGTGGTGGTGCCGATTGATTGTGTGTGTGTGTGTGTGTGTTCTCTGCGTGTGTGTGTGTGTGTTAGATTTGATTTTGAGAGACAAAAATAGGTAATTGTGGTGGGTGGGTATGGTGGGACCCATTTGTGTATTTAATGTCTCATTTACCCTTACTTAGTGGTCAAATGTGTAATTTGACCACAATATGTATGTTAAATTACCATATTGTCATTAATGATTGACCATAGTTTGACTTCTTCATAGCCACTAATATGTTGGATCTAATTATCCACAATCATTCTTATTTTCTCGCATTAAGAGTCATTCTCGTATGATCCTTTCTCTCTCTCTCTCTTTCTCTCTCTCTCTCTCTCTTTCTCTCTCTCTCTATATATATATATATTCCCTGCGTGAGTTGCTGGGAGTGAAAAAAGAAAAAGTATATACATATCTACGAGAGTTTATCGCAATTATTTTGGTGGGATCAATTCGGTTGAGAAGTGGAATTTGCTAGGAGGATTTATCTCCTTTATTGAACTTTGGTTGGCTGGGGTTTTTTTATATTATTACTTTCAACTAACAGTACTACAAAATATTAAATAAAAAATTATAAATACTAAGTATATTTACATAAAAGAATAGTGGCACTTCAATTGCAAATTAATAGTCTACGACTTGCACATTAGTGACTACCATATTGCACTATAACGATCAAAATGTACAGACGAAGTTTTAGATTCGAATTTTATATTTTGCACATTATTGACTACCATATATTTTTTTACTTTTAAAATTTCGGGTATCTCGTATAGATGACAGATTTATTGATTAAAATAACCAAACCGACCAATCTATATAATATTAATTAATAAAATATATCAGTTATTTAGTTTTAATTTACATTGAGATAAAATGTTTGGTCAGATTAGAATGCACAATAGCGATCGAGACAGTGCACATTAATGTTTATCAGACTGCACACTCGTAATCGAAAACGACGGAACTAAATTTTTTCCAGTTTGAATTTTTATATTTCAATTTAATTATATGTTTATTACTTTTAAAATTTTGAATATTTCTATTCTATGTCGACATTATTAAGTAAAAAGACCGAGACAACAAAACCGACCGAATGATAAGCGGTGCAAAATACAATAATGCTAAGGAGCCAATTGTTGGCTCCGTTACGGAGCCAACAGCCAATAGGACAGCTCCATGTGGGGCTGTCCCACATTGGAGCCATGTGAGCCAGCTGTTGGCTCCTTAGCATTACTGGTGCAAAATTTATAGTTTAATAAAATTACAATGTTAATATTAATGTGCTTTTAACCAAAAATATTGTGCATTATTTGTATCATTAAAGTGCACTTATTATAGTTTTATTAAATTACAATAATGCCACACATATAAAAAAATTGCATCAAAGTCCCTAGGACTTGTTGAATTCTCAAAATCAGCCCCACAACCAAAAAATCAAATCTCGTCAGCTTCCCCCAGATTGAGTTCTTCCGCCCGCTATCCTCCGCCCGTCGCCCGCCTCCTGCCTTCCGCCGCCCGTCGCCATCCTCTCTTTGTCCGATTGCACCTTCTCCCACTACAATTCCGTCTTCAACTGCAAAGTCCCCCGATGCATACCTCTGTAACTAAGAAAAAATTCACAATTCTCAAGGGTGATGGCAGGCGATGTCTGTTAACTGTAGGTGGTGTTAGAGTAGCGGCAGGTTCTCCGGCACAATATTTCCGGCGGCACATGGTCTATCGGCCGCGAAGACAGCAACACCGGCGAAGTCAACTTCAAGATCTGAATCTCCGCTACTTGTGTCGCCTTCAACAGCGACTGGAATGAGCTCTCCACAATCTCGTAGTCCCGATGATCATGTCATCGTCGTTGGCAGTCGTCGTACCTTCAAGTACGAGATTGGTGGCGGCAGTGGGCAGCGGACCAGCGGCGATCGGCGTGATCTGCAGTGGTGGGAACAGAAGCCAGCGAGGTGACCTGCGGCGGGCTACGGGACCCGTGGCGGCGGCGGCGAGAGAAGTGGCCGGGTACTTCTATGTTTGCGTAACTGTGTTTTGATCGGGATATGTAAAGAGAGGGAGGTGTATAGGTACTGCGTGTTTTTTTGGTGTAAATGTGTTAGAGAGGAAAATAAATTAGGGTGGGTAATTTATGGTGGGTCCTACATTATGAGTTGGCATGATTTATAATTACTGTAATACACTTAATATTTAGTCAAATATATTCATTTGACCACAATATATATGTTAATTTACTATACTGCCATTATGATTGACCATATTTTGACATCATCTTAACCATTGATATGATTGATCGCATGGTTCAAATTCATTCTTATTTCATTCGCTATCTATCATTCTCATATGATCCTAACTATATATATATGTGTGTATAGAAGTGTGCTCAAATAAGAATGAGTCATAGTGAAAGAAATCAGAATTATTGTGGACCATTAGATCTTACATATCAATGGTCATGATGGTAGCAAAATTAATAATTAAAGTTAACCTTATTAAGGGTAATTTAGTCATTTGACTCTCATTAAAAATAAATATGTCATTAACCCAATACATTAAATAGTGGGACCCATCCCCCACCCCCACCCACCATTCAACACGTTTCTGCACCACCCACCACCACCAACTCTCTCTCTCTCTCTCTCTCACACACACACTTCTCCACACACACATCATACACTTATACACACATGTCGACGCATAATCACAATCTGCACACACACACACACATACGCCGGCAATAGCACCATCACCACCGCCAGCCCCCGGCCCAACCGCCTCCCCAGCCGCCAATAGCTAGCCCGCTGCCACACCACCATCACTGCCCGCCGTGTCACGCTCACCGTGTCACACCACCACCTTGGCGCTGCCGGCCTCGCTCGCCGCCGACCCCGCTTGCCGCCGGCCCTCGCTCGCGCAACATAGCCAAGCTCGTCATCTAAGGCGCCGACCAGACTCACTTTTACGTCAAGAAAGCCGCCCAGATCGCTGGCGTCTTTGGTCTCCATCGGAACTTCAGGACAGTGGCCACGGCCTGTAAGCGCCGTGTTGGTCTCGACTGGCGACGGCGATGTGCACAAAGGGGGTAGTGAATTGATTTTTGGGGTTGATGGTGAATTTGGTTTGTTTTACGAAAACTAAATTTGCTATGCAATGAATTTTGGGGCTGATGGTAAATTTTGGGGTTGGTGAATCCAATTGCAGGCACTAGGAATGTGCAATTTTTTAAGAACTATAATTATAATACAAGTTAATTAATGATTAAGTATTAATATTAAATTATTAAAGACATAATAAAGATTAGTATTAACATTAAATTATTAAAAACATAATAAATATAAAATATCGATAAGGAAAATTTAGAAAAGAAAGCCGACATTAGATCGAAATAATCGAAATTTTAAAAAAGTAAAAAATTAATAATCAAATCGACATATAAAATTTAGAATTGGAAATCTTAAGCTAGTCAGTTTCAAGTATTAATGTACAGTTCAAGAGACATTAATGTGCAGTCTGTTCAACAATATTGTGCATTGTTTTGGTCGTTAATGTGTAATATATCAGACATTAATCTATCCGACAATATTCTATCACAAACCAAATTAAAATCGAACATAAACGATCGATTTATCCGGTTGGTTATCTGATTTAACCGAATTAAACAAGTAGGTATATTTATAAAATGGTAGATATTATTTTATAATCTAAACTAAAAACATATAAATATCAGAATATAAAAATTTGGACCGACAATTTTAGTTTGGTTGTTTTCGACTGTTAGTGTGCAATCTGATAGTCACTGGAATGCAATTTGTCTAACACTAGCACTCGCAATACAAAAGAAGAAGCAATAATGATAATAATGTAATCGTCTAACACCATTGTGCACTATGTTGGTCATTAATGTGCAATTCGTCTAATATAATCATGCATTCGCAGCGCATTCTTTAATTTCGTTCCAAAAAATAAATTTATTCGTTTGTTTAACTAAATTAACCTAATAATCGGAATTAATTAATACTATAAAAAATATATTCACCATTTTAATTATTTTATTTAATATTTTATATTATTTTTTCATTGAAAGGACATATTACTTACTACTATTTTGTATATATATATTTTAGTCGATTCGATTATTATAAAGAATAAAGCCTACATAGAACCAAAATAATCACATTTAAAAAAAAACAGATAACTGAACTAAAATATAAAACTCCAACCGAAAAAAATTGTTCGGACAGTGCAATGTGGCCGTTATTAATGTACAATTCGTCTAACACTATTGTGCACGGTTTCGACCGAACATTATGTTCCAAACTAAGTTGAAATCAAACTGAATTATTTGATTTAGTCGACCGGTTAATCGAATTACCTTAATTAATTTAAATAATTTATCATTTATATTAAAACTATATACTATTTTAATAATTTTGTTTGATATTTTTTTATTTTATATTTTATTGAAAAAACATAATATATGAAATACTAAAATCGATAATGTGCATTTCTGTAGACATTATTGTGTATTTAGCCTAACGTTATTGTGTAGTCTATTGAGCGGACATTATTTTATATCCATTTAAATTTTTAACAATGTGTATTTAATTAACCTTATTTTGCATTTATCAATTTATTTTTATATTGAAAATATATTAAGTATTTATTTTTTATTTAATATTTTATAATATTTTTTGTTGAAAATAAATAATATATATATATATATATATATTAGAATATAGAATATTTTTTATATATATATTTCGGTCAGTTTTGTTATATATTTATATTTACTTTTTGTAAATAAAAGCGAAACCAAAACGAAATAATCAAAATTCTAATATATGTGAAAACATACAGTGTTATGCTAACGTGGCGTTCTCAAATGAATTAATGTGCATCATGTCTAACATTATTGTGCAATGTGATGGTCACTGATGTGAATAATATTGTACATTTTGCAATGTTTATGTGCAATCTAAACTAAAATGGAACCAAAATAATCAGTTTATTCGGTTGGTTAATGAAAATATGGATTGGAATACATGAATTATCGAACTAAGTTATTATTATATATCTATATCAATTTATTTAGTAATTTAATTTTTTATTTAATATCTATATTAATTTTTGCTCAAAATAATATATATATATATATATATAT